TCTGGGAAGATCCCACATTCCGTGGAGCGGCTGGGCCCATGAGCCATGGCCACTGAGCCTGCGCATCCAGAGCCTGTGCTCCGCAACGGGAGAGGCCACAGCAGTGAGAGGCCCGTGTACCGCACACACACACACACAAAAAAAGAAGTCATCCCGTGTTCAGAACTCTCCTGAGAAAGAAGATACAGTCTTCTGTGGTCACCCACTCTGTAGTCAGGGCTCCTCATGACAGGAATTCTTACTAGAGCTAGCCTAAATCTCCTTGTACAATGGTTTAGGCACATTTTGTCTTTTGCTCATCTTTGTAGAGACTGTCACCCTCCATTGCAGCACACCGCCCTTCTGATCCCACCTTCTGAGCTTTGTCCAAGCAAATTGACACCACTAGCTCTTCTTGTCCGCTGAGGTCAAGCCCTCGCAGGAGAGGAGGAGCCCAAGTAGAAAGACGGGTTGAAGTGACTGGCTTTCCCCTGTGTGCATCACCTCCCTCCTCCCTCCTTTCCCCTTCTCTATGCTCCTCCTCTGCCTGGTTGGATGCCTGGCTGGGGCCTGTGCAACTTGGTCTGATAGTGCCCTTCTCTTGGATTAGATTCATGGCCTATTTCAGTGTATTGTTGTCCGTATGGTCATTGAAACCTGGCCCTGGAGACACAAGCTCAGAAGCTGAAGAGAACTCACTTTGTGGGATACCACAGAATAGACTCAATCTGTTGCAGATTTTTTGTTTTTGTTTTTGTTTTTTTTTGTGGTACGCGGGCCTGTCACTGCTGTGGCTTCTCCCGTTGCGGAGCACAGGCTTTGGATGCGTGGGCTCAGTGGCCATGGCTCATGGGCCCAGCTGCTCCGCAGCATGTGGGACCTTCCCGGACCGGGGCACGAACCCGTGTCCCCTGCATTGGCAGGCGGACTCTCAACCACTGCACCACCAGGGAAGCCCTGTGTTGCATTTTAAAAGCCCAGTTTTGTTTGGGACTCTATCACAGTCTCCACCACCACCCTGTTTCTGGCAAGGATGGAGAACAACATTGAACCTCAAAACTTCCCATCCGAGACAGAGAAAGATTGGGACTCATGTGCTTGAATTACAGTAGGGCCCACCTTTGTCCCTCCTCACTCACAGGGTGTTCTCTTCATCCGCCATGTGATTTCCTCTGGACCACACCAGCTGGAGCTGGTGGGAGCCCCAGGTCCACCCGTGACTAGCTATGTCCATGAATGGAAGCGCCTGGATGAGATGGGCTCCAAAGCCCTACAGCTCCGGCAGTTTTCATAAGTCTGTGACTCTCTTGTGATAGACCCTGAGAAGATTGCGCCTTCGTGTTATTCAGAGAGGAAAACTGAGCCTTGGGGAGATGAGGTAGCTGACCTAAAAGTGTACCATTAGGCAGAAATCAAGCCCAGACAAGAACACAGTCAGAGCAGAAACCCAGGAACCCTGAGTCCCACTTTGGTGTGTTGCCTGGAGGGAGCAAAGGGAATTAGGGAAGGGAAAGACCTCTGCCGTCCAGTTGGCCTCCCCTGGTTTCTGCGTGCCAGCCCTGCCCCCACCTCATTCCCTTTGACCCCCAGCCTCCTGGCCCCCTTCTCCATCTTCTCTGTCCTCCTGTTGGTATCCTGGAGAGCTGCACCAGCTCAAGGCAGATAGCATGAGATGAGGCAGTAAGTAGGGGTGCACAGACTTCTTAGGCAATACCGCTCTTCATTCCAGGGATTTAGACTGAATGAAATAGGATAGCTTAGTTCAGGTTCAGTACCAAGAACATTTTCTGTTCTGGTTTAGTTTCAGCTCTGATGTCTGAGAGTTATGTAGGTTTGATTCTAGCTTCAACTGCTTTATTGAAAGATTGGGATTGTAGACAGAAAAAAAAAAAAAACTGTTTAGGTCTCTTATTCAGAAAAAAGTTAATGGCAGGGATTAGTCCTAACTGTGATGCAGCAGAGTATGTGATGATAAATCGTCTTTGGTTCAATTCAGCTCCAACCTGGCCATGGATACCATCTAGTCCTGGGGAACACAAAGGGCCAGACATGGCTTTCCTCCTTGGGGAGGAGGCTGCTTCACCTGGCAGAGGGTTAACCGGCCTCCCCAGGTGGGGAGATCCTGGGCTGGCCCTGGCGTGGGAGGATGGTTCCTCAGTTCCTGGGGCTGAGCCAGTGCCCGGAGGAGACTGAAACATCCCTGGAGAGGAGCAGCTGTCACAAGAAGGGTGGTGAGAAGCACTGGGACATTTCCCATTTGGAGGAGGAAGCAGAGCTTGAACTCTCCCATTTTAAGGAGACGGAATATTGAGGTTAAGCCAACAAGAAGTCATGACTACCACATCTCCCCCTACCTCCTGCAATAGCCCGAGAACTTTTGTGATTAAAAGCTACTATATTTCTAGAAGGATCTCATGGGAATTTTGGATTCGTCCATCTGAGAGAGAATGCTGCTCTGAAGGTTAAGGGGAACTAGTTTAATCGTGGGGCATTTTCCCAGACTGAGACCCTTGTTCTTCCCTCTGCTTGAATCCATCATGAGATTTGCTCCAGGGTGGAAGGCAGTAGCCTCAGCCCCAGACCATCATTCCTGACCCCAGAGTCTTCCTCTGCCCTATGAGAATGAATTAAATGACCCCCTGACCCCTCCCCTGGAAGGAGGGGCTTTAGTGACAGTTGCCAAGGCAACAGCTTGGAACAGCAGGAAGCCACTAACAAGGCAGAAAAAAGGAAGAAAGAGGAGCTTAGGGGAGAAGGAGAGTCCAACCCACAGGGGGGAGTTACTGGGGTAGGAATGGCTGAGAGCAGAGTTTCTTCGGTTCCACTGAGGTCCCCTCCTCATCTTTAAGCCCAGAGCTCCCCAAGTCACCCATCAAAGCAGACAAGGAGAACCTGGTACCTCTGACTCTTGGCCCTGCTCCAGTGTTCCCACCCCTGGGGTCTAGGCCCAGGGCCTCAGGCAGGAAAGTGCTGTTTCTGCCACTAGGAACTCCAGAACCACTGTACCCCATCCTACAATGGGCTCGTGGTCTGCTTCTCACTCACTCCAATCCAGCCCAACTCTGCAGGCACAGATCACACCCTGGCTCAGGCCCCTCAAGTACACAGATTCTCAGGAGGGTAGAAAAATTTGAAGAGAAGCACTGGTCCTACCCTCCCAACTCTGCAAGAAATAATGCTCTTGACCCTCTCTACTCGGCCCATAAAAACTGAACATGTATCCATTCATCCATCCTTGCGTGCTTATTGTGGCGTCAGGCACCAAGCTTAGCCCTTGCAATGAATAAGTCATGGTCCTTGCTCTCAGGAGCTCTCGGTGGGGTGGGAGAAATTGACAGAGGGAAGAAGATGGTTAGAAGTCCAAGAGAGAAATCAAAAGGAATAGGAGGGAAAGACTTCAGCTTAAAATTGTCCACAGAAAACTGTCTTTTGACCTCACTTCGATTTAGCACTAAAGAGCCCACGATACTTTATCAGTTGGTTCATAGTTCATGTCCTTTCAACAAGTATTTCTCAAGCATTCCCTTTTATCCATCACCAGCTGTGTTCCCAGCTCCATTCTAGTGCTCAGAGGCTAGTCCTCAGAGAAATAGAAAGCCTTCCTGCCTTCAGAATGTTGGCAGACGTACGCACATGCGAGACAATTAGAGAGCGATTTAAGTAGGTAGGCAATACGCGTTAGCTAGTGCGTATACAATGAACAAGTCAATTGACTATAATCCCAGGACAAAATGTCTGGTGGATAAAAAGCCATCAGGGTGAGGAGCAATTAGTGTGGTGGAGAGACTGGGGAAGGCTTCATGGGGAAAGTGAGCTTGAACTAGAGGGGGTTTAGTTGGACGGAGGACAAAGAAACAAGCCGGGGTTGGCAATATTGGTCAAGAGTCAGCTGCTGTGTTGGGAAGAGGACACCTAGTGAGAGCACATTCAAACTATGGGCTCCCTGCCATCACCTTTTTGTCCTTAGGGACCTCTCTCCACTGAATTTCCAAATTCTGTGTAGAGCTTAGACTGGAGGAACACTTCTCAAACCCCCAGACTGGCAGCATCTACATCAGCTGGGAATTTGTTAGAAATGAAAGTTCTCAGGCCTCATTCCCACTGAATCAGAAACCCTGGGGTGGGACCAGGGGTGCATTTTCCCAGTCCCTCCAGGTGGTTCTCAGGGCATGCTGGTTTGAAAACCACTGGGCTACAATCAGTGCTTTTAGACCCTGGCCACTCACTAGATTCACCTGGGAAGCTTTGACACCCAACGAAGACGCCAGGGCCCCAAGCAGAGAGGTTCTGATGAATGGATCCAGCCATATATTTTTTTTAACTCCCCAGATCACTCTAATGTATATCCAGGGCTGAGAAACACCAGACTAAATGACCTCCAAGTCCTTTCTGACTTCTTATCCTGGGACGGGCTCTGAGGCTGATTCTCAGATTTTTGTTCTCAGGGATTCCCGGCTCACCAAAATCTCCTGGTGGATTTGCACACGTTCAGGGGATATGTTTGGGGTCAGAAAGACCTTTCTGAGATCCTAAAATCTTGAATCTCTTGATGACCAGCTCTCTGATGGTTTGTATGCTGGTCCCACCATCCTCTCTTACTTGCCCGAGGCAAAAACACTCGGTGCAGATGTTGATTCTCCTACCCCAAACACAAATAAGTGTGCACAAGCACACACTGCCACACACCCTCATCACGCAGTGCTATAAATATATGTCCACACATACAAGAATAACCATATAGGGGTATTCAGATCACACCTAAAAATATATACGTGCACACAAATAAACTCACCATCAGAAGTCTCAGACCAGCACACTCAGACTGCTTGGAAAAGGATTCCTCTTGGTGGAAGTTGGGCTGTTTGAATTAAGAAGCACCTCTGTCTTCCCTGTAACCTAGCCTGCTTCAGGGTAGCACTTGGGGGCAGGATGTAGGGATTATCTTCTATAAACTACCTGCAGGTAAACCCACAGGGGACCACTGAGTACAGATACTGAGGATGCCCTTTTTTCTTTTGCAGATTCGAGCCGATGGTCCCCCCCATGGTGGGGTCCAATATGAGATGGTCTCCGTGCTCAAAGATGGGAGCCCCATCCTCCGGGACATGGCCTTCTCCATTGATCAGCGCTACCTATACATTATGTCTGAGAGACAAGTAAGTGCTGACACACATCCCTCCTTTCCAGAGCCCAGGAGGAGCAGATAACCAGGGACCTTTGTTCAGAAGCTATTCCATCAAACAAGAGAGACCCCTGGGCCTGCTGCTCAGGGGTCCTAGGAAGCTTTTTCAGGGAGTCAGAGAGAAGCAATTGGGGCCAGCCACTTCCTGGAGCCTCTCTTTAGGCCGCAGACCCTGTCTCAGCATGTGATGAACAGCCCCACAAGAACGGGCCAGACTGCACAAAGCAGCTTGGTGTGATTAGGAGGTAGATTTACTGCTCCCGAGCCGACAGTCTGCTGCTCAAGGGAGCCAAAGAGGTGTAAATAATCCAGGCCTCCAGGCTGGGAGAGATAGACCCAAGATAGGTCCCCAGAAGGAGATAAAAATCTTGGGCTGAGTCTTAGACCGATGCAGGGTAGAAGCTGGCCAGCTCTGGGAAGCTGCAGCTCTTTCTGCAGAGATGGGAAGGCCTGAGAAATAGAATTCTGTCCTTTTCTGGGTAACACCTGAGTGGGTTCCCCACCCTCTTGGATGAAATGTTATTCCCTCGGGTTATATTCGACCTGAATATGTGGGAGCAGAGAGAAGGCAAATGCAGGGAGAGCCATGGTGAAGGACAAGAGAAGGACAGGGGATCCCCCACATCAGTGGAGGTGCAGAAAGCAAAGCTTAGACCTTAGGAAAGGCTGGCACCTTCCATTCATTCAGTCAGCGGGTCAACAGTTAGTCAGCAGGACTGGTGATCTTGACATTGACCTGAACATGGTAAGTAAGATAAAGGCCAAAGCAAAAGGGGAAGGACTGTGAATCCGTTTTGGTGCTGGGGACACTGACTTAGAGGCTAGACAACGACGTGGCGCTGGAGGACCAGTGAGCTTTCTCAGGGTACCTCCCCACTCAGGCGTCATTCTCAAAATACTCTGCAAAGATTCCAGGTGTCTGTCATCAAGTTCACCCTGCCCAGAGTTCTCTTTCCCTCCTCCCTTTTTGTATGTGTGAATTCTGAATCGGGGACAAGGGATGAGTGGAGGAAGGAAGAGGTGAATGGGCACATGATGGCATAAGGGAAGCAGGGATGCGACTTTAACTTGAAAATTAGTTCCTGAGAAGAGATGACACAAACCATATGCTAATTGTATGCAAATTACGTCCAGATCCTCTTGAACCCACCTGTCTTTTTACCTTCTTTCTTGTAACCCCCATGGTTGAGGCGTAAACAAGTCCAGATGCAAACTTGTAACCCTAAAAAAAAAAAATTACTGGGCATGTATTTATGGGGAACCATGTACTGGAAAAACATCAAAATGAATGGGACTTGGTCACTACCCTTAAGTTGCTTACAGTCTAACAAGGAAATCTTTATCATCAGATTGGAGGCTACAAATGCTCTGCCTTTCCTTCCTATTTTTCTTTGTTTATAAGACAAAAGGTTATTTCTTAAACAAAACTGATAGGTGGGCACCATACAAATTCAAACAGTACATACAGAAAAGGAAATAACAAGTTCCTAAACCTCACACCCCCAAATGTAGCACCATGTTAACATTTGGTGAACACCATTCCAGATGCTTCTGCAGAAATATCTACAGATAGAACGGTGGGTGGAGAGATAGCCCCCTAGACCGGTGCATTAAAGGATAGTCACTGGGATCAAATAGACCTACGTTAACATGATATTTTCAAAAGACGTTATGTATGGCCGAGGACCAGGCTGGTAACTCTGGACAAAAATTCTTTCTTGGGTTCCCTGAACCCCACGAAGTAGAAAAGCAGAAACAGCAAATAGAAGTGACCAGTGAGACCTCAGTGGAACTGAGAAGATGCCAAGGCACATATTTGGGCTGCATATCTTTTAGTCAAATGAGATGCTTTCTGAAATTGAATTCAAAACGTGGCCAAAGAAGAGGGCTGGAGGCTGATATATGGCCTTCAGGGAATACAATGACCTCCTGAAACCATATCTGATGTCGTCTCTGAGAACATCAGCTCTGGCTAAACCAAGTGTCGGCATAGCTTATTTCTAAATAATCCCTCCTTTGGTCTCATCTTCTGCATCTGCTGCCTGGTTCCTGTCAGTTGGCACCAAACAGAAGGGCTCAGTAGTAGCCAGTCATGCTGAGCAGATATAGGAAGAATTTGGGTTTAATGCCATGGGGCTATCTTGAATCAGGTGAGATATTAGTCAAGGGAGATCCCTATACCAGGTGGAGCCGTGATCAGCGGGCAGAGTCGGAGGGGGACTGGTGGTGGAGCTCGGAGGCCTGTCACTTGGAGAGCCGCAGGCCATGGGGCAGTAGGTAGCCCGGTGATTTCACCAGGGGCTGGGTCCAGGGTTGAAGGCCAAGAACACCTCAGGAGGGCCATCTGCCTGAGGCCAAGTGGCCAAAAGTACACCGGGTGTTCACAGACAGCTCGGACCTCTTAAAGGAAACAGTTGAATGTGTGGCAAGAGAACAGTCAATGGAAATGAAGTCAGATGACGTGGGTTCTAGTTCAGCTTTTGCTCTGAGGTCCGAAGCTCTCAACATTTTATAACCGGGTGGCCTTAGACAAGTCACATCACCTCAGTATGTCTCACAGGGATCGCTGTGAGGCTTGGCTGAGACAGCAAGAGGGGAATTCCTTTCACACCACCTCACGCACTGAGAATCCTCATCATTCAGATTCCTCACGGCCTGTCCCAGCTTTCAGCCTTTATGATCCTATTACTCAGGAGGGTGGTGACCGTGGGTGGTGATTAGGAGGAAGCTAAGTGGCGGCACACCCAGCAGGCCTCAGGCCGAGCCAGGAGGCCTATGTTCTAGTCCTGGCCTACCTCTAACCAGCTGGCTGACCTAGACCCTGAACTTTGCAGGGACTCAGTTTCCTCAGCCTGAGGGATGGAGATAATAAATCGAACTCTCTAGAGGCTCTTTCAGACCTTAAAGAGACTTGTCTAAGGTCTTGGGATCAGGACTCTTCTCCGTCTGCAGAAGACAACCCCAAAAGCACAGGAAACAGCCTTGAGGTTAGACCAAAAGAACTTTCTGAACGAGTTTTATGAGTCCCTGCATGCCCATATGAACTCCTTCCCCGAAGGGTAAACACTGCAATGAGGGTAGAAACGCTAGCAGCTATGGATAAGCAGATTCCTGTTTTGAGGCAGTCATTTCACAATTTGGAGTTCCCTAAAAGACCTAAGACCTTATAAGACATCGTGGGAATGGGGTTTCCCACCGCCTCACTTTCCAGTAAATCTCTGGGCAGCCTACTCTCACCCCTGCCTTCACCATGTCCCCAGCTCTTGTCTCCCTGTTCCCCTCCCCCTCCCCCAAATCATGGCACCTATTGTATCTTTGATGCCACAGGAGAGTAGAACCAAGTCTCTGCCCTCCAGTTTTGCCTAGACAGGTTTTCATCTCCCCACAGAGCTAGAACAATCCAATATAGGCTCATGTGTGCCCTCTCTCTCTCTCTCTCTCTCTCTCAGTTAATTAAATGTAATTAAGAAATAGGACTAGTAAGTGTTGGGTCGTTAGTGCCACTGCCTAACAAGTCCATGTTAATGTACTGTTAATAGACCCAGTGCTGGCCAGTCCCCGGGGAAAATTTGGGAACCAATTCCCCGATCCTACTTGCCCAGGTGCTCCACGGATAGGATGCCTGACTCTTCCCTACAAAGTCCACCCCAGCTTCCTCAAAAGCGAATCGACCGGCAGATGTTATGGGAGGGAATTCAAGTCGCTACAATATCCTCAGTGTCTAATGGAAGTCAGACGGTGGGACCAGGGAAAATCAGGCGACGAGCCAAGTAAAAAAGCAAGTCCCAAGATGAAAAGAAACTTGATAGCCCCAGTTTCCACCCAACTTGTCAGCCTGGCCACTCCCAGAAAGGGAATCTAACTCTATACTCAGGGTAGATGGGAAAAATGTATGGGGATGGAAGCAATTATTCTATTTTATACTTTAATTAGTTTGAATTAGCAGAGGGAATAGAGGCATAAAATGATCTAGCGAAGGGTGAAATGGAAAAAGGGAGTCACAGTGGAGAATGGCTCCATGTAGGCTGGAAAGGGCCTTGGGAACAGCAGAAAGGCTGGTGATGGGTGTGTGTGTGTGTGTGTGTGTTTAGGGTGGGTGAGGACATGGGATGCTGCTGTCTATTTCGAGGCCTGGAGAGGCAAGATAGCATAGTGGTTAAGAGTGGGAGCATGGGAGTCAGACCGCCTTGCACACAATCTGTCACGGCCTTGAGAATGTTAGTTCACCTCTCTACACCTCGGCTTCTTCATCTGTATAGTGGGCCTAATAATGGTGACTGTTGTGAGGATCGAGAGACTATATATAAATTACCTAGCACTGTGTCTGACACACAGTCAGTGCTTTCAATAAGTGGTAATGATTATTATCATTATCGTATTGTCATTCGTAGTATTATTAGAACTTCTGAGACCCCAGAGAGGGCTAGAAGCATCTCCACTATAAATTACGGCTGAGACAGAGATCCCAGTCTCAGGCAAACACCTCCAACCTGACTTTCCTGCTGCTCCCTCCCAAGGGACACCTCAGAAGCCTCTGGCCTGGTCTAATGTCAGCATCCAACTAAGTCGCTCGTAATCTGCTATTTATTTTTAAAATCCAGGAATGTGCCCAGCAGACTAAACAGTCCTGGTCCCCTTGATACAGGCGAAGGCAGCCCTGGGCTCATGTGTGAGGCCCGGGAGGCCAGTACTCCAGGCATCTGTGGAGAGAAGGGAGGGGGACCCTGAGCCCTGGTCATCCCCCAAGGCTCCAGGCCCCTGTCTGGCTGCATGTGTGGACACTGGGCCAGAAAGGGGCTATCCCTGGGGCTTTCCACGTCTGGTCTCACCAAGTAAGTAAGCAGGCCTCAAGCTCATTGCAGTAGATGGGGCTGCCATTCTCCAAACAGTGGACACTCAGACCCCAGTTCTGAATGCCCATATGTATGTCAGTTATTGGCATACATTCTGGTTATTTATTTCTATGTAACAAAC